ATCAGTGGATTTATTAATATCATTTCTGTAAAATTTGGTGGACACTACCTATTCCTAACAATTTATTTGCATTTATTTAGTATAAGCAATGGAATCTTGCCTTTTCTGACATGAACATTTTCATCTATGGTAGTGATTTATGCACCTAGGATACAGGGGCTGCAATAGTAATTATTTTAATTAATGGCTTCAGAGTCAACTGTAAAATATAAGTCAAATATGTAAAAATTTTTTGCCTCAAATTTTACTTTTTTGCTTTAACATTAATCTTCTATACCTCAGTAATAGTTATATTCTCCTTATCTAGAACTCTTACTTTTTCCTCATTTCTTTGTTGTTTTTGTTGTTGTTGTTGTTGTTGTTGTTTTTGGTACCAGGGATCAAACTCAGGACCTTGTGCTTGCGAGGCAGGCGTGGTGCCACTGAGCTAAATCCCTGGCCCACTTTTTGCTTATTTCTCTATGATGACTTTTATTTACTTTACCAGGAGTTTTAATAAATGTATTTTTCAATTTAATTATTTAATGGGTCTTAAAACTTATCCTAATCAACAAACTTAATCAAATTTGATTTATTTGGTTTTTTCTCCCCTGTATGTATTGAGATCTTTATTACGAAGACTATTGTCACAAATACTTGTTACATTCGTTTTTGGGTTTTTTTTTTGTACTGGGGATCGAACTCGGGTTCTTGCGCTTGCACAGCAGGCAGTGAAACCACTTAGCTAAATCCCTGGCCTGCTACATTCATTTTAAAATCCAACTTTATATATTCACTATCAATTATAGCTTGAGGCAAGGATTTTTTCCTTTCAAAAAATGTGTATGGAAAATTAAGACCTGTCTGGCTTAACTTTGTAATTTATCCATTCATTATTTCCAGCTCAGTTAACTATCTTAATGTGGTCTATGATCTATAGTTACATATATGAGATTCTGGGTATACATATATACACAAAAGTGTACAAGTAGGAGTATGATATAGGTTCACACCCAGGAATAAACACTCAGAACCCCTGGGCAAAGTACCTATCTATTCTTCCTTCTACCAGTAAAACAGAAGTAACTTTCATGTTTAAAACAGGGCTGTGATAGCAAATGAGAATAATGTATATCAAAGTATCAATGTATAATAACTATCTACAAATGCCTAACACATTACAAGGAAAAATATTAATTCATTCTCTTTTATCCTAATCTATAAGGGCAAAAAATACTGTTTCTGCTCCAATTTACTTTTAGACCATTATTAAATTCCCTTAAGCAAAAGCAATTTGGGGCCGGGGATTTAGCTCAGCGGTGCTGCCACCTGCCTTGCAAAATGCAAGGACATGAGTTTGAACCCTGGTACCAAAAAAAAAATAAATTGAGGTTTAGGGTCGGGGATTTAACTCAGTGGTGTGCTGCCTGCCTTGCAAGCACAAGCATAAGATTCCGAGTTCAATTTCCAGTACCCAAAAAAAAAGTAAAAGCAATTTGGCAATATGGATCATGACTTTTAGATGATCACATACTTTGCTCCAACATTTTCACTTTGAGGAATCTATCTTCATGAAATAATCTAAAATGCAGAAATTGTTTTATGTACAAAGATTTCACTGCAGTGTTTCTTATAACTATAAAAAACTAGAAACTCTAATTAGGAGCAATTCATATAAACAGTAAGCCATCATTAAAAAGCTGACAAAACAGTTCAACAGTGTAAGAAAATGCTTATGATGCAGGTGAAAAAAAGCAGAATACAAAATTATTCACATAGTAAAGTTTCAATTGTGTTAACAATCAAAACCCACAAGAAAATACTGGAAGGAAATGCACCAAAGGGCTTATTGTTAGTTATTACAAACCTGATTCTAGTGACTCTTACTAATTAATGGTTTTTTCTATCACAGGTAACAGTTTCCTAAAATAATTAATGATAATGACATTAATGAAAATAGCAGTAATTATTAATGGAGCACTCACTACATGCCAGGCCCAGTTCTAAGAGATTACTGTATTAACTCATCTAATCCTTGTAATATTGAGATTAAAAAAAAAATTGAGGCATTGTAAAATTAAGTCCCTTACCCACAGTCATTACAGAGGGTGCCGAAATTTGAATCTAAGTAGAGTCTGGCAGTAGCACTCTTGTGCCTGACTTCTATACTACACTGAAAAGTTTTGCTTTGCTTGAAAATTTTAACCATTAAAAAGGCATATATCAATCCTAACCTTGTGGTCTTCAGTCATCTACTTTCTTTCAGTACTGAGTTCAAAACTGAGTGCTTTTTAGAATAAGATGTGGCCACCATTCCTGTATTCCATTTCTATATACTCCAGAAAACTGCAAGACAAATCTGTATGCTTACTTCCTGTTTTAGTATCTCATTTGATGATTAAGACTCTTGAACACTCACATTCTTATTTTATCAACTGACTTAACTTCAAAGAACCCTACCTAGCTTGGAAGTCTTGGAGCAACACAATCATATTTGGCTTGTAGAACCTCCTCAGCGCTAACTCCCACCTACCTAATTACAAATCAGTTAGCACTTCCAAAATAACTTGTCTTCCCTTGTAAAGCTCATCCCTCTACAACTCAGGAGACCCCTTATCTGCCAGCACTAACCAAATATCTATCATGGCACTGGCTGAATAGGACCAAGAAAGATCTTTAATACAGTATCTGGACAATTTCACTCTCCCTAATCCTTCCTTTTCGAATATGGCATTGTTCTCCAATGTTTTTTAACACCTTGTTAATCACATCGACTCTGCTTTCTTACCCTTCTGCTAGTAAACCAAACTGTTTTGGAAGAAACAATATCATTCTGGCACCAATATGTACTTAAATATCAACTGCAGGAAGAAATAGTCATAATTTTTACCATATGGCCAATAACTCCCATTTACTGTTGTGCTCCTCTTGTCAGTTTATACAGTGTTTGATAAATTTATTTCATTTCAGATCACTTAGTTTGGCTTCCTTTATACAGATTTCTTAAATGTTTGCAGAACTGAATATGATAAATAAATGAAATTCTTCTAAACAGCTTGTTTGCATTTCAATACTGTCATTGACAGCTTTCAGAAAACTCAGTTCATAGGAGGGCTTTAATGTTATATAAGAAATGCCTGTAGGGCTGGGATTTAGCTCAGTGGCTCCTTGCCTGTCTGGAAAACACAAGGTCCTGAGTTCGAGCCCTGGTACCAAAAAAAAGGCCTGGAATCCCAGCACTTAGGAGGCTGAGGCAGGAGGATCCACTTGAGTTCGAGGCCAGTCCTGGGCTACATGGTGAGTTCGAGCCCAGCATGAACTACATAGTGAGTTTGAGGCCAGTATAAACTACATAGTGAGACTGTCTCAAGAAAACCCCCAAAACAAAAACATACAAGAAAAACCACAGTCATGAAAGCAATGAATACAATTAACAAGTGTTGGTGATATTAACATTTACAACCAGAATAGTGTACCATATTTTTACCAAAATATTACTCCACTCACATTATAAAGTGGTAAAAGGCTTTTGGAATGGAAGTATAAGTTTAGAAAAATAATTGCATAGATATTTTAGTGAGAGGGATTTAATAATTCCTGTCCAGGTTGAAAATGCAACCACAGCAAAGCTAATCCAAGGTAGAGGGACCTTTTAAGAAAAAAAAAATGAAGTACCAATATAGCACTTCAATAGGCTTATGTTAAATCACATCAAGTAAAAGACACTCTGCCAAACTACTATTTATTTATACACTGACATGCCAAGTAGTTTTTTTAAAAATGTATACCTTCACACTAGTGTTTCCCATTTGCAGTTCTAAGTTTTCAACTTGGTGTTCTTTAGGAACAACGAGGGTTCAGGGGAGGGAGAAGGGGAGGACAAATGTAGAAAACAATCTTCCTGTTTCACTAAAAACAATTCCTTACCACTGTAATACGAAAGTTTTGACATAACATGTCTTTAAATGTCTTTGACATAACACTTTAAATCCAGCATGAATTTTTGTTATCCTAAAAAATGGGCACATCTGGACAGCCACTTTACAATCCTCTATTTCCAAATGTCTCCTACACCAAACATCTTGCATTTTGAAAGTATCTTTTCTTGGAGGGAGGGGTAATAGGTGTTCATTCTTCAAATCATCACCTTTTCAAAGAAGGGCTTTTATTAAGCTTCTTAACACAACTGTCAAAACCAATTTGTGGAAGGCTCCAAATTCAAGTTTCTACATTTATATCTGCTGACTCACCAGAACGACAGTGATTAAGACAATAGATTTATACTGTATAAGAAATCCCTTGCAAAACTCAGTTGATTTTTATAATCAGTGAACAACACGCAATCATTTTTAAAGAAAAAAAGCCATCCCCAAGTCAGTTTGTGGTGGCGGGTCTGCTCCTCGGCAGCTGTGTCCCCAGTTGCGCGCGTGCGTAGGAGTGGAGGCAGAAATGCAAAAACCACAAGACCACGGGAAACTCATACTTACAAACACTGAAATTGTGCAAACATGCCGTGACGCCAAGAGGCCCCAAAGGGAAAGAACCGCCAGGAGAAAGAGATCAGGGGGATGAGTGCTGAAGAAAAGGTGTGTGCGCGGAGCCAGGACGCCCGGCCCTGGGGTCCGCGGCGGGACAAAGGCGGGCGTCCGTCCGGCGGTCAGAGCGACTGAAGCAGCCGCCTCGACGCAGCCCACGGCCGCACCCAAGGGCCCTCAGACGCCGTGGCTTCCTAGGCCCGGGCAGAGCTCCCCGAGCAGCAAACCCTTCCCCTTCCCCGCCCCTAACAGAGTCCAGACACCGACCTCGGACGCCAGTGGAGCCGCTCGCACGCAGCGCGCCCGGGCCCGCAGCTGTTGAGCTCAGAACCGCGCCGCGCCCGCCGCCGTCTCCAAACGGCCGGGCGGGCACCCGGAGAGCGGACGGCCCGGCGCTCCCCCTCGGGGCGCATCAGGCACCTCTGGAACTCCTCGCCTCCGCTCCCTCCCCTCCGGTCGGGGGCCGCGCACCCCCACGCCACCTACCCGATCCCACACCATCCCAGACGCCTCCGGTGCTCAGGCCTTCTGCCGAAGCGGCGCTGCCTCCCTTTCGGGGCCTGAAATGGCTGCGGAACAAAGAGAATCTGGGCTCGGGCTAGCGCCAGTCCGATTGGCCGGGGGGCGGGGCCCGCCACGGGTACGTTCAGCGGCGGTCGCCATGGCAACGCGGCGGGGCTGGGAAATCCGCAGCCTGGGCTTGGGAGCCAGCGGGTTTGGAGCCAGCGGGGTTGAGTCCAGCGCACAACTGAGGTCTTTGCTTAGACCCTGCAGCCTCGGGCCTCGGCCAGGCACGGAGCTCTCATATTCTGGAGCTATGGCCCAGAGCAAGGGCTCTCCTAGGAGGAGGAGGAGGACCTACCCCAGCCTACCTACTGTACCCAAGCATAACCTTCAAGCGACACCCGGGCCCCAGGAACAAGCCGCATATTCCGCAATAATACACAATCCACCCTCGCTGGAAAAATCCAGAAATGGCTTCGGGAAATAGACACGGGCTGACGGCTGTCTGCTTGTTACAAGAGAGGCTATTGAAGTATGCTGTATCTAGCACAAAACTGTACGATGAAATTAAAATTTTAGCTGTGATGTATAAAATGAGGATTTGCGTCTATATGTGTGTCTCTTATATAAAAGTAATTCCCTTAGAAACGACGAGCTTTTCACTTCTAAACCAGCCATCATGAGAAACTAAAATGTCTCTTTCATGTTTTTGGAACTGAAAATAATTCAAAATGAGTGTAGTAAACGTTTTTAAACCCAGTCGTAATCATCTTTACCCAGATTGTTCTGATAATATGAATTTATTGTGTATGCATATTTAAAATTCGCGTAGCCGGGTGATCTTTTCCTACGGTAGTAATGCCGGTGATAATATTCCTCACATGATCAAGGTGTGCAGTTTCAACATCTTGCTTGAATCTGCTCTACGTGCTTTGGAAATACATAGCAGTTGTTGACTTCTAGTCACATTCTAGATAAAATTACAGTACCTAAGACTAGAAAGTGTTCTTAAGCCGGGGATTTAGCTCAGTGGTGCCGCTGCCTGCCCTGCAAGCACAAGTACCCGAGTTCGATCCCCGGTACCAAAGAAAAAAGTGCTCTTAAATTCTTCCTAAGACAGCTGGTTAATAGACGTGTTACTAAAGTTCACTTAGTATAGGAATTATTTTATAGGAAGAACTAGTTTATTTAACTTAAATTTGGAGACTACAAGACCAACTTTTTCACTGGGAAGTTGAACATAGCAAGGGGAAATGTTTCCAATAACTAAAATCTACAATTTCAACATTTTCTAATGTTAATTTGATAGCAGTTAGATTCAGTAGTGCACATGGAAAAGAGGCCCTCACAGGAATAGGAATAAGTTACCAAGAAAAATACTTTAATATGAACCTTCCTAAACGCGAGTGTAGCATGTCTGCAGGGAAATTTATCTAGAATAAATATACTTGTACAAAAAACAAATAGGAGTTCTTTTTGTATTTGAAAGTTGCATTGTGGAATAGGGACCTGTATAAATCCGGAAATGTGTGGTACCTGCATTCTACTTTCCTAAAGATTAAAAAAAGAAATAGTTTTAAAAATCTAAAAGGTTAGAAAATAGTGACAAATGTAAAGGACTACTCACTAAACTATAAGGAATTC